CTTGTCCCTAAGTCAAAGCTCAAGAAAACTTATATGAGTTTTTCGAATCCGCATCTATGGGGTTGTTTTTATTGTAAAATGGATTGCATTGTATTTATTTTAGCTTTGATTTTTTTTATAACTTACCACATATGCCATGTAGTAGCAATGTAGTAATCTCTACCTAATAATAAAGCGAGCACTGCTTCTGGTCGTCCCGTCGCCTATTTCACGAAAAAATCATGTGTTTTCCCAAAAATAACACGCAATTAGGACTTAAGTGACAAAAATGAATCGTTTTTTGTATTTTTTCAGAAACACCGTTCCAATTTTTTTTTGAAATAAACCCGCATTCCAGACTTAAGTAAAAAATGAATTCATTTTTTTCCCAAAAAAACCCTGTCATTTCTATTAATTAATCCGCAAATCAACTATAAGTGACAAATTCTTTTTAAAAAATCATATATTTTAAAGTGTAACTTCAATTGTAAATTATTATATATGGAATTTGATTAGAAAAACGTGTAGAATCTGACTATGATGTTATTTTCCCTATTTAACATTTTTAAATTCTATTTATGATATAATTTTAATCAATAGCGATGTGTACAATTTGAATATGTTATTTTACCTATTTAACATTTTTTAAATTATATTTATGGAATAATTTTAACCAATAGTGGACAATCCGTCTTTTTTCCATACCGAAGATCCCTGTTGCACATGAACACCTCATCACAATCAGATTGAAGACAAAATTCCCTACAATAAAAAAAGATCGAAGACAAAAGAAATCATCAACACCTTATGGAGAGAGGGGGGCGGGGCATATATAGGATGCCATGTTCAAATAATGGACATGGATTTGTTGGGGTCTTGAGTCATGATTATTGGATTAGGCGTGTGCCGTATTGTTTCCTCCCATTGCAACAGATAGCTCTTTTGCTAGTAAGTAAGTAAGTCGTGTGCATAATATTAGAATCACCATCGACCAGTCCCTGCCCGATTTTTTTTTCATGGTAATACGTGTCTCATTTATATCATAAGGATCATAGTATAAGCCACGTACATACCGACCTGACAAAACTGAAAAGACAGCAGAACGCTAGCCTTTGCACACAGGAACACCAGCCAAGAAGTAAAATTACAAACAAGACTGAAGAATTCTGTGAGCTTGACACCAACGCCCGTCACCTGCCTCTGGCACCACCATAGCAGCCACCAAAGGCGAACATGACGGATCACCTCCACACCCGAGCTTGAAGCGGCTCCATCGCTGATATGCAGCTTTGCGGACCTCCAAGGTGGCTCGCCAATAAAGGTGAAGCCATTGTCGTTGAACGAGTCAGACCGGGGCAACACCCCGGACACGCCATCGAACTCCAGATCTGGCTCCCCGACCCAACTAAGATGTTGGAGGAGGAAACCATACCTTCCTGGCACGAACCACGAACCCAGATCCACCATCTTTCAGATGCCGTCGATGCAGACTACAATCTGCATCCGCTCCTGGACTACCTTCCAAGCTCCACGCCGGCGCTGGAGCAAACGCCGTCGCAACGGCGGAGAGCCCAAGGACACAGGTCCACCACGAGGATGCCGCCGCCGCCGCATCATCCTTGGTTGAACAGTCTGATTTCCAAATCCACCCCAAAAACGGATCGCCTCGTTGGGGAAGGATCTGAAGATTTATTAGTCGGCGCCGCCATCGCCACTGCCGAAACCATGACGATGAACAACCCAAAATCCTAAGAAACTAATGCCTAAAACAATCCACATGCGTGGATCCGGTGACCCCCTCACCACCGACGACCGAGGTCGTCAGCGGAGGGGAGCCGCCGGAGGACGGCGGCGGAGGAAGACGCTCTGGTGGCACGAGATCGCCTTCTTTTCTTCTCCTGAAAGAAAGAAAGCAATACCTTGACTAAGAAATTCTAATCTGTGGCCGTCCCTGCCCGATCCTGACAAACATGAGTGGAACTGCACGACTCCAATCGTACGTGTTCAGGGCAGAGTGCATGGATTCGGGTCGGGGTCCAACACGTACGTGCACGTAGTACGCCTCCTATAACCCGCTTGTTTATAAGGCCACGTACGCACGTACCATCACAAAACGTGTTTGTGCAGACTCGATCGATCGCTACGACTACATCGCCCGCCCACGCAGACATGGAGTTACCGGCGCCGATGCCCGTGACGCTGCCGCTGCCGCTTCCGTGCCTCGTCGTCGACCACGACGGCGCCGGAGGGGAGCCCTGCACAACCCTGCTCGACGTCTCCAAAGGGGAACATCAGCACCAATACCACGCATGCGACGGCGACGCCCACGCGCTGCTACGCAACAGGCGGAGATGGATGACGCCGCACGGGTGGGTGCTCTCGTGTGACCCCTCCACCCTCGCCACCTTCCTGTGGAGCCCTCAGACCACGGAGAAGATCGACCTGCCGCCCCTCACGCCGGGGCAGGAGATACCCTTGCACTCTTCCTGCTCCCTCTCCGGCAAGCCCACCGCCGCGGGCTTCACCGTGGTGGCCGTCGAGCCGGAGAAAACGGCGGTATGGTACTGCCACGTCGGCGGCAACGCCTCCGATAGACCTGGATGGGTCAGGTACGAGTACGACGTGGGAAGCGTCACGTTCCCGGTGGTCAACGACCGGAGAATCCAGGGGAAGAAGTTCATCACCCGGCTCACGGCGGTCGGAGGCAAGTTCTACTTCTTCAAATCGCATGACGAGCTCGGCGTGCTCGAATTCTCGCCTGCGCCGCTCCACAGCTCGGTGCCAGTCCGCGCCGTCGAGCGTCCCCCGGGGACCACCTGCATGGCGCCGTCGTTCGTGGAGCTCGGCGGCGAGCTCTATCTGGCCTCCGCCTTCTTACACTACGACAGCGGTGGCGCCACAAGTGTTCTCGGCTGCGGCGTGTACAAGCTGGACTTGGCGGGGAAGAGGTGGTGCAAGGTCAGCGACATCGGCGACCGAGCCTTCCTCATGTGCCCTCTGTATTTCAGTGGCTGCTGCTCTGCGACCGCCTCCGGGCTGAGACCCAACTGCGTCTATTGGATGGGGCTGTGTGACGACGACCTGCTGCGAGTCTTCGATATCGACGGGGATGAGGGAACTCATGGAGTGCACGATCCGTGCAAAGATATCTCCGGGCCAAATCGTAATGCGGTGTGGATGCTTCCTAGTGATGAGCCATAAACATGGAATGAACTACTAGAAGACACTCAATGTATAACTGAACGAATTTGTTGCAATATGTTTTAATGAGGTTTCGATTGTATGGACATGAATATTCTAATTAATAATACGATAGTTTGAATTGAACATACATATGATTTATACGTAATATTCTGTAATGAGATCAATACTTTTTTGAAAGGAAATTAAAAGGATCACAAATATACATAAGATCATACTTTAATTTACAAACATATTGTTAGCACAACGAATAATGTCATGTATGTGTGCGGGCCCCTGTGCTAGTTTGTCGAACACTTTGTTCACTGCAAGTAACGATATTATTTTGCTCTAGTCATAGTTTGTGTTCACCGTGGCCATATTATTATTTTTTGACCGTATCCGTAGCTATTGTGAACAAAAATAAAAGTTCTATGCACCAAATAATTATACAAATGAACAACTTCTTTTCTTACCAAGGACCCTTTTCTTTCCTCAAAAACATTAAAAAATATATAAGAAAAAGAAAAGAAGTACGAAGACAACGTTTATGTTTTCGGAATCGATAACTCCCGAACGACCCCCTCCAAGAAAGGAAGTTAGGGTTCGTGCCTCTCGCCGGCGCAAGTCCGCCTCATCTACGGTGGCCCTAGGGCCATGGAAGCGCGGTGGATCATGGCAAGGGCCGGCGGGAGGGCTCCGTTTTTAGTCGGTTTTTTTAATCTTGTTAGGGTTTGTGTCATACTCAGGAAGGCAAGACGGCGGCGGCTCCCTGGAGATGGAATAAAGGTCTCCCCGCCTAGCCCCCGCTCCGGCGGTGCTGCCCGAGGAAGGAAAGGGACCCCGCCATCACCGGCGCAGGACGAGCCCGCTGTGTCTCGCACCGCCGCCGCCGCCCGAGGGAGGAGAGGGACCCGACGCTACCGACGCAGGCCGAGCTTCGCCCGGCGGCATCCTATGGCAGTGGCGAGGATAAGAGAGGGGGAAGTGGTGGGGAACGGCGGAGGCGGGGGCTCAATCCTCCCTAGAGCAGCGGCGGCGGCGGAGGGAGGGGCGATAGGAACGACAGAGGCAGGAGATTTTGGCTCAGGCGGGCGTGGGTTGTTTCTAGAGGCAGAGTTTTCGTCCGCCCTCGTGAAGTTCTCTTGTTTAATAGTAGTGTAGATATGCCGGCTCAGTCTTTCGAAGGTGTTCATAGGGGTAGGGTCTGCGTATGTGAGTTTATAAGGGTGAGTGTATGCGCGTGTATATGAACACTTGTGTCTATAATGATGTTCAAAAAAATTAACGCAAAAGGCACACTACTATGGAGAACGTGCTTTTGGAATCCATAGGCTAGTCCCGGCCGGATCGTAAAAACAGGACTGTGCACGACTCCGATCGTATGCAGAGGAGGGATTCGAGTCGGGGTCCAACACGTACATCCGTGCAGGTACGCCTCCTATTTAAGACCACACACCCACGTGTTTGTTAACTCGTGCAGACTCGCGACGACGACATCTACATGATCGACCGGCAACGCCGACATGGAGTTCTCGGCGCCGGTGCCGGTGCCGTTGCCGTGCCTCGTCGTGGACCACGACGGGGCGGGAGGGGAGCCCTGCACAACCCTACTCGACATCTCCAAAGGGAAACAGTACCAACACCACGCATGCGACGACGCCGGGAGCAGGCGGTTCCGGAGATGGATGACGCCGCACGGGTGGGTGCTCTCGTGGGACACCTCCACCCTCGCCACCTTCCTGTGGAGCCCTCAGACCTCGGACAAGATCGACCTGCCGCCCCTCACGCCGGAGCAGGAGATACCATTGCACTCCGCCTGCTCCCTGTCCGGCAAGCCCGCCACCGCCGGCAGCTTCACAGTGGTCGCCGTCGAGCCGGAGGACACGGTGGTATGGTACTGCCACGTCGGCGGCGACGCCGCCGGAGGACGTGGATGGGTGAGGCACGAGTACGACATGGGAAGCGTCACGTCCCCGGTGGTCAACGGCAGGAGCATGCAGGCGAAGAAGTTCATCACCCGGCTCACGGCCGTCGGAGGCAAGTTCTACTTCAAGTCGGAGGGTGAGCTCGGGATGCTCGACTTCTCCCCTGCACCGCTCCTCGGCTCCGTGCCGGTCGCCGACATCGAGCGCCCCCCGCGGACCACCTCCATGGCGCTGTCGTTCGTCGAGCTCGGCGGTGAGCTCTACCTGGTCACCGCCTTCTTGCACTACGACATCGGTGGCGCCACAAGCGTTCTCGGCTGCGGCGTGTACAAGCTGGACTTGGCAGGGAAGAGGTGGCGCAAGGTCCGCGACATCGGCGACCGAGCCTTCCTCATGTGCCCTCAGTATTTCGGTGGTTGCTGCTCTGCGACCGCCTCCGGGTTGAGACCCAACTGCGTCTATTGGATGGGGCTGTGTGGCGACAAGCTGCTGCGAGTGATCGACATCGACGGGAACGAGGAAACTCATGCAGTGCAGGATCCGTGCAAAGATATCACCGGGTCAAATCGTAACGCAATTTGGATGCTTCCTACCGATCCATAAATATCGAATGTATACCCGAAGGAATTGGTTGCAATATATTTTAACGAAGCTTCGATTGTATGGACATGAATATTTTTTGCTTAATAATATGAGAGTTTGAATTGAAGTTACATATGATTTACAGAATATATATGTGACATAATAGACTGATTTTTTCTCATGGATGGTTCTCGAGGTGAAGAATTTTTTGCATACATGATGGTATGTTGACGTGTCATATTTGGAAGGAAAAAAAGTAATGTTTTATCCTTTTCTTTTGCCGTCGGGCTAGGCCAGAAAAGCTCCTGATAAAGTATAATAGACACAATTGATTTTATTCGCTCATGATCGTTTCCTAGCCTTGCATGAAAAATGTGTATCATTTTTATTCCATTTTTTATTTTTTTAGGGGAAATAGCATGCAGTGCAGGATCTGTGCAAAGATATCACCGGGTCAAATCGTAATGCAATTTGGATGCTTCCTACCGATCCATACCGATCCATAAATATCGAATGTACTCCCTCCGTTCCGAAATACATGACGTTTTACGTTTGTACGTTGAAATTTCGTAACGCTACGAAATATATGCGTTTTCCGATTTTACCCTCGACCACATCGCTCTCAGTCCCTCTCTCTCACTCTCTCTGTCTCCCTCGCCCGTATCGCTCTCTGCCTCTCTCCCACCGCATCTCCCTCCCCCGTGGCGCCGCCGCATCTCCCTCGCCCGCATCGCCGCGCATCTCCCTCGCCCGCGTAGCAGCCGCATCTCCCTCGCCTGCGTCGCTGCATCTCCCTTAACCGCGTCGCCGCTGCCCTCTTTCTCTCGCGTCATCTTTTGCGTCATCCCTGCTTAGTTGTCCCAAGATTTGATTTTTACCGCCTGAGGAGCTGCTGGAGTAGGAGGAGCTGCGGGAAGAGGATATGTGGCGGTGAGAAGCTGTCGGATCTGTGCGGCTGTGGGGAGCTGCTGCATCTGTGCGACGGTGACAAGGAGCAGTAGGCGGTGCCGAGCGCCGATGTGCCGAAGGAGAGGAGGATGGTGAGCAGCTGGACCCATGACGGCACCTCCGCCCTGCCCCCGTGCTTGAGCGCGTCGTACACCACCTGACGCCGAAGGATGCGGTCGAACACCACCTGCGGCAGCTTGTCGTCGCCGCGGCCGCCGCCGTCCTCCTCGCGTGCGGCCTCCATGAGCGACTCCTTGAGGAGCAGCTGTTGCGTTAGGTGGCGAGAGGATGGACGCGGTGGCCCGGCTGTGCGTCCATGGATGATGACTCCTTGAGGTATGGTCTCTCTTCATCTTCCTGTCTCTTCTCCGTGAAAACTTAATGTCAGATGCTAGGAGTAGTGCTAGAAAATGGAGATTCTTGTGATCTTAGTGTACTGCTAGGAGTAGTGCTAGCAAATGTTACGGATGCTAATGTCAGATGTGAGGCCTTAATTGCCTACCGAGCTCTCTGTAATCAACCAAGCAGCAGCAGCATTTCAACATGTCTTCTTCTTCGGCTGGAGTGCAATTGAGATCAAAATCCATGCCTCTTCCCTGACTATGTCTATTTCCTTTTTCAGGTACTGCCTATTCTGAAGTTGGTGCAATGGAGCCTGGAGCTGCACCTTCTGGACCTGGAGCCTGTTCAGGTACTGCCACAGTATAAGTTTATGCAACATCAAGCTCTGTAGTACTCCAACGTCATGCAATTCTAGTACTGCCATGAAAATGATGTTGCATGATGTTGTAAAAGTGATTCTGCCCCTGTAGTACTTCATCATGCAATTGTATTCCAACATCATGCTATTCTGTTAATGACACTCCAACATCATGCAACTGTTTCAGTAGTACTGCACTTTTACTCCAGTGCAGCACTGATTTTTGAATGCTTCAACATCATGCAACTACTCCAACATCATGCAACATCATGCTCCAGTACTAATTTTTGTCATGCTAAATTCTGTTGCCACAACCCTGAACACCATGCAACTGAATTGCCCGTTTTTGGACCTGTTGAACGACCAGGACCTGAAGCCGGCGGCGATCTGCAGTACCTGGAGGTGGAGCTGGCGAGGCCCTGGGAGGGTGACGGCAATCTGCAGCAGGGCGCTGGCCTTGGGATGACGAGGTGGGGATTTGCTGGCCCAGGACGAGGAGGGGGATCTGCTGGCCCAGGAAGACGGGGAGGATGGGAGGGGATCTGCTGGGTGAGATGGGAGGCGATGGAGGTGGAGGATCCAGAGGTGGGGGCGATGGAGGTGGAGGATCCAGAGGTGGGGGCGATGGAGTTGGAGGATCCAAAGGTGGGGCGCGATGGAGGCGGGCGGATCTGGAAGACGACCTGGGTGGAGATCGAGGAGAGAATTCAAAATTGAAGGGTAACCTAGTCATTTCGCTCCTTTTTCACCTGGTCGGGAAAAATCCCCAGCGTCATGTATTTCGGAACGGAGGGAGTATACCCTAAGGAATTGGTTGCAATATATTTTAACGAAGCTTCGATTGTATGGACATGAATATATTTTTCTTAATAATATGAGAGTTTGAATTGAAGTTACATATGATTCATAGAATATATATGTGACAAAATAGACTGATTTTTTCTCATGGATCGTTCTCGAGGTGAAGAATTTTTTGCATACATGATGGTATGTTGAGGTGTCATATTTGGAAGAAAAAAAGTAATGGTTTTCCCTTTTCTTTTGCCGTCGGGCTAGGCCAGAAAAGCTCCTGATAAAATATACTCCCTCCGTTCCTAAATATAAGTCTTTTTAAAGATTCCAACAAGTGACTACATACGAAGCAAAGTGAGTGAATCTATACTCTAAAATATGTCTAAATGCTTCCGTATGTTGTTGTCCATTTCAAATGTCTAAAAAGATTTATATTTAGGAACGAAGGGAGTAATAGCCACAATTGATTTTATTTGCTCATGATCGTTTCCTAGCCTTGCATGCAAAATGTGTATCATTTTTATTCCATTTTTTATGTTTTCTTAGGGGAAATAGTTGCCACTTTATTCAATGTTCATAGCTCCTTCTGTTGGAAATATGCCCGGCAGTAATAAAATGATTATTATTATATTTCCTTATTCATGATAATTGTCTATTGTTCATGCTATAATTGTATTAACCGAAAACAGTGATACATGTGTGAATACATAGACCACAACATGTCCCTAGTGAGCCTCTAGTTGACTAGCTCGTTGATCAACAGATAGTCATAGTTTCCTGGCTATGGACATCGGATGTCATTGATAACAGGATCACATCATTAGGAGAATGATGTGATGGACAAGACCCAATCCTAAGCATAGCACAAGATCGTGTAGTTTGTTTGCTAAAGCTTTTCTAATGCCAAGTATCAGTTTCTTAAACCATGAGATTGTGTAACTCCCGGATACCGTAGGAGTGCTTTGGGTGTACCAAACGTCACAACGTAACTGGGTGACTATAAAGGTACACTACAGGTATCTCCGAAAGTCTCTGTTGGGTTGACACGAATCGAGACTGGGATTTGTCACTCGTTTGACGGAGAGGTATCTCTGGGCCCACTCGGTAATGCATCATCATAATGAGCTCAATGTGACCAAGTGGTTGGTCACAGGATCATGCATTATGTAACGAGTAAAGTGACTTGCCAGTAACGAGATTGAACGAGGTATTGGGATACCGACGATCGAGTCTCGGGCAAATAACGTACCGATCGACAAAGGGAATTGCATACGGGATTACTTGAATCCTCGACATCGTGGTTCATCCGATGAGATCATCGATGAGCATGTGGGAGCCAACATGGGTATCTAGATCCCGCTGTTGGTTATTGACCGAAGAGTCGTCTCGGTCATGTCTACGTGTCTCCCGAAACCGTAGGGTCTACACACTTAAGGTTCGGTGACGCTAGGGTTGTAGAGATATTTGTATGCGGTAACCCAAAAGTTGTTCGGAGTCCCGGATGAAATCTCGGACATCACGAGGAGTTCTGCAATGGTCCGGAGGTGAAGATTTGTCTATAGGAAGTCCAGTTTCGGCCACCGGGATAGTTTCGGGGGTCACCGGTATTGTACCAGGACCACCGGAAGGGTCCCGGGGGTCCACCGGGTGGGGCCACCTATCCCGGAGGGCCCCATGGGTTGAAGTGGGAAGGGAACTAGCCCCTGGTGGGCTGGTGCACCCCACTTGGGCCTCCCCCTGCGCCTAGGGTTGGAAACCCTGGGGGTGGGGGCGCCCCACCTGACTTGGGGGGCAAGTCCCCCCCCCCTTTGCCCCCCCCTTGAGATTGGATCTCTAGGGGGCCGGCGCCCCCAGGGCCCCTACATAAAGAGGGGGGAGAGAGGGCTGCGCACCCAAGCCCCTGGCGCCTCCCCCTCCCCCCCGTAACACCTCTCCCTCTTGCTGAGCTTGGCGAAGCCCTGCCGAGATCCCCGCTACTTCCACCACCACGCCGTCGTGCTGCTGGATCTCCATCAACCTCTCCTTCCCCCTTGCTGGATCAAGAAGGAGGAGACGTCTCTCCGCTCCGTACGTGTGTTGAACGCGGAGGTGTCGTCCGTCCGGCGCTAGGATCATCGGTGATTTGGATCACGACGAGTACGACTCCATCAACCCCGTTCTCTTGAACGCTTCCGCTCGCGATCTACAAGGGTATGTAGATGCACTCCTCTCTATCGTTGCTAGATGACTCCATAGATTGATCTTGGTGATGCATAGAAAAAATTTATTTTCTGCAACAATCTCCAACAATGGCATCATGAGCTAGGTCTATGCGTAGTTTCTATGCAAGAGTAGAACACAATTTTGTTGTGGGCGTAGATTTTGTCAATTTACTTGCCACTACTAGTCTTATCTTGTTTCGGCGGCATCGTGGGATGAAGTGGCCCGGACTGACCTTACACGTATGCTTACGTGAGACAGGTTCCACCGACTGACATGCATTAGTTGCACAAGGTGGCTAGCGGGTGTCTGTCTCTCCCACTTTAGTCGGATCGGATTCGATGAAAAGGATCCTTATGAAGGGTAAATAGAAATTGGCATA